TTTAAATTCTGTAAAAGCGAGGCCATTCAATTATTTAAATACTTGCACATAGAACACAATATGAATCAATTTGAGAAGAGTTCATTGTTTCGTTTGCCAAAGTCCATTATATGTAATTGGTACATGAAAGAAAGCAATCCTTGCCGAGATTCATATCATTCGTCAACATCGTACTGTATTACACAGAAGATAAGGGTCGATTTTCTTGAGAAAAGTCCAAAGTATATGCTACAATTTAATCCGGTTACCATGTCATCGTGAATCGTTTATTAAATTTTATTTTCGCATCATCAACATCCGTAAAAACGACAATAGTTTGCCATATTTTAAGATTTTTACAAAAGCCAAGAGATTTTTCTTGATTTTGAAGTCATTTTATAGTTCACTTGCCCTCCATTACAAAGCATAAATTGATTAAACTTTATGTCATTTAACGTAAACAACATTCCACGCAATTTCCACGCAAGTTAACTACGCAGTTACTTAACTATCCGACTAACTACGTTTAGTGCAACGCAGTTAAGTCGAGCAGTTAAGTTACTACAGTTAAGGAGTTAACTACGGTAGTTAGCGCTAACTATAGTTAAAGTTAACTACGTTTTTATACAACCGGCCCCAGAAAATAGTCGTATGTCACTCTTATGTACTCGTATGTTACTCGTAAGTACTTGTATGTTACTCTATGTACTTGTATGTTACTCGTATGTACTCGTATGTCACTCGTATGTACTCGTATGTTACTCGTATGTACTCGTGTGGTGTTTTAGTCACGATCATTGAGTTCTATAATAACTGGAGCGGCTATCTCAAGCGCGGCCTTAGATATCTGGTGACGCCAAAAAAATGGCGGATTTCGTCCGTTGCCGCTGAGATTTACCGAAATTGACCGCTTTTCCGAAAATTTCACAATTTCCCACTCCCTCCTGAGGAAAGAGTGAAGAAAATGTATGTGTGTATTTGGGATTCGGCAAGCAATTTTTTGATGAAAATCACGATAAAAACCTACAATTCGTAACAGCGAGTCAACATAGCTTTCCAGTTATCGGCTCCTACGAGGATGTATTTATAACTATCGATGAAAGAGCTATATGTCGGCTACACATCTATGAATGCAGATATGCGTCGTTTTCTTACCAGCGTCAAACTTGTTTGATCGATTAAACTCTTTAGTCTATACAAAAGTATATCATAGTTCATCTCCACAGTGGTTCACGAGAGAGTTAGCTTATTTTTATCATTGCTATTTTGCTTCTTTTTACTTGTTTCTTTAAAAAGTAAATATTAAATCTCTGGATATTTACGTATTTTCTGTAATTGAGTTTCATATTAAATTTCAAAAGACTCAAGTCTGCATAGGTTTGGTAAATGAAAACAAACAATATTGTATAGAAATTACTTTAAGTAACCTTTTGTGATGTTCTGAAGTGCAACTGCATCAAATACTTGTAAAGTTGTAGCACATTTTGATTTTGTTGTATTGATATATAAATTGGGCAAAATGCAAATAATCATCAAAACACTTATGCTTCCAATGGTGTTTATAATTCATTTTAGTTTTAATACTTCTACCCTTATTTTTCACTTTGTTTTGTTTTTCCTATATTTTCAATATAAGTGCACAATTTGAATGATTAAAACAGTTTTCACTTCAATAATAAATTTCATAAGCAGTTGGTAGTGCATTTTGTTCTCTGAGTATCCACATTTGGTGTTTTCTTCATACATGAATGATGAAATGCATATGGATATGTCATAACAAGGCAATAAAACCAAATGAATTAAATACCTATAGTGTACTTTTATGCTAGAAGCTTAACAGCTTTCTAGAAATTATAAAGTTATTGGATTATATTACCTCTATATCATCAATCTCATGAAAAGAAATAAGAAGCAAAATATTTGTAGAAAAGCTTTGAAAAGTGAAAACATTTATTTAAAAAGCAGCAATGATGCATATGATAAATCCCATTCTGTACTCTAATAGGTAAATAAGCTCAAACTGTTTCTTAAAGAAATATAAGAAATATATAAGAAATATACAGTACAGTAAATTTAAAGGTTTCATCACTGAATCTTTAATGCTTCAGTATAGTGCATTAGATATTAGTAACATTTAAACAACACTCAACTAAAATATTTTGATAAAGATATGCCATGATTTAAACATTATGTTATATAAAACCCAATGGCTTATTCAGTTTAATGCTTCACATCTGCATCAAGTCATCATCAATCTCAGTACAAATGTTTACATAGACACAAACTTTATGGCCTTTCCATTTTATATGTTGTGAATTGACATTTAATTAAGCATCAAAACACACAACCTTCTTGCCATCTTTTTTTGGTTCATGAACTTCAACTTCAAAGCATTCAAGGCATCATTAGTGAATCCATTGTCTCCATCCATAGAATTTGACCATGATCAAATTAAATAACTCTGGATAAGGCAGACAATAAATCAATTATCTTTACAGCATTATCATTTTTAAGACTCTGCCTGATCAATAACATCTTCCAGTCATCTTTACTTCTTGGTCTTCCCTGCATGTTGTCAGCAAATACAACATAACAAGCTCTGCTCCAAATCATGGGTACTGTTGGGGCTGATCATTTCTTCTTGATACTTTTCACAGAGCAAAATGTGTGCAGGGTCTTTTTGCTTTAGGGAAACTATTTTGCAAATAGATAGGTAAATTTACGATTTCATGCATTAACAAATGACAGAAAAGTATGCAGAAATTTATAGACAAAAACAGGAAAACATCAGTATATTTGGCGTTCAAGTCAGTCTTAAAAAAATACGATCTTTAATATGTATTTTATGGCTTTTCAAGTGCATGTATAATTGCTTTTCAATCGTTGACGGACTAACAAAACAAACAACTACCTCACCTGTGGGAAGCGATATGTACCTTTTTGTGGAAACTACGACATCCAACAATTGAACGATTGAAGTGTTGGCATTATAAAAGAAATGCCAAAAAAGAATCGTCACAGAATATGGAACTAACGATATCCATATTCTGTGATATCGTGTTTGTTTTTGAAAAATTCTTTATAATTTACTATAGACACCAGGGGGAGGTCGAGAATATTATTTTTCTGCAAAGCGATCATTTCAGCGGAAATACGTCCGTTGGCCGCCATTTTTTTGGCGACCTCGCCCCAGTAAAGATAGCCGCTCCAGTTATTATAGAACTCAATGGTCACGATCATCGCTTTTAATCATTTCAAAATTGACTTTCTCATTCACATTCAGATTACGAGCTCAAGATTTGTATACAAAGCCATAGTTAAAGTGGGAAAATGTTTTAGTAATCATGCTAGCATTCATAAAGAATAGAGTCGATATTAATAGGTTTCCTTAATTCGTTGTTTTATGCAATTACTGTTGTTGGCAGTGTTTACAATAAAAAGCGAATGATTCCCCCACAAGATTTCGTCATTTTAGTTTAATTTTTGTTTATTTATCTTTAAATATATTAAAGTTGTATTTAATGGTATCTTTCGTCTTCTCTAGAATTGTTTTCTGAAGTAAACAATAAAGTTCTGAAACCTGATTACAACACAAACGGAAGCCATATTTTTTGCCGTTCGCTGTCTAATTAATAAGAATAAGAATACTAGTACGATTCAACTTATTTCCATTAAAACAGGCCAAGCTCGTGGAAAATGTGAAATCATTCGGGATGAGATCGTAAGACGACCCAACTCGGATAAAACTATTTACATTCCAATATGTGACCTAGACGGAACGTTTGCTAGAAAACAATGTCACTACCAGCCCCCCAAAGTAACGTGTTGTTACGTAGACAAGAACGGCAAGTCTATTGGTAAAAACAGATACATCCACGTAATCAGCACGTATAGCAGCCAGTGAACTCGACATTTGAATAACTGGAATGATAACCGAAGCCAAAAATTGAAGCCAAAAAAATATTTGTCGTCATCATTCGTCATCACACGTCAGGCTCTAGTCTCTCGCGTGTTCATTTTAATTTTTTTAAATCATTTGTCCTTTGGTAATGGTAGAGTTCGGATCTTGATCAGAGCGTAAAAATAACGAAATTTTTGGAAGGAAAAGGTTCACGGAAAGTGAATCAAAGTGATAAATCAAGAAGCAGGGTGAGGTGAACTTAGTCGATCTGCTTTTACGCTGCGGTTTTCCTTTAAAACATATCAAAGTCTTTAAGGTAAATGGTTTGAACCCGGGAGTATCGTTACATGTTTGTAAATGTAGATCGTCCAGGTTGGTATAGTCCTGAGAAGGACTGTTTTTGTTGTTGTTGACTGACTTTTCGACAACCTTAGCAGTAGTCATCTTCAGAGTCAAATGAATCAAACGATCTACATTTACAAACATGCAAAGTCTTTAAGGATATTCAATTATTGATATCGAGATGACAACCATGTAGTATTTCAAGCACAATAAAAATCGATGAAAAATACAATCGCTCTGTAAAAAGTAAAAATGCGAGTTATAGACTCAGTATGTTTTATGAAACTGGATATTCAAGTTTCTTTTTTCTTCGGAAAAACAGATCTTTAAATCCACTGAAATGACAAAAAAAGACAAACACTGTCTGACACCGTGAAAATTTACCTTCGGACGAAAGAAAAGTTTATGCTTGAATATTTTCTCGTCATATTTTCTATTGTATTGTCTTTTTAGCATACAGTGTAATTTTCATTTGGCTTTTCCTCGTTACAAGTTGTAAGTTACAACGAACTCACTGTAGTAAAGTTTCAGCTGTAAAAAATAACCTTTTGCAAGGAGTTGGCCTCGTGTGTTGTTTGTCGTGATGTTGTTTATATGTTTATGCTTTCTCAATTTGTATTCAAATTTATATTGGCCGTGTATGTTTGGCACTCAGGGGAATGAAACTGACGTACAAACCGCGTGAATATTCAACTTTGAAGGACTGGAACTGACGTACAAACCGCGCAAGAGACTAGGACTTTGGCTTCAACTTTTTATCTATAAAATGTATTGTTGTTATCATTCCAGATATATATATATATGGAGTTCACTGATAGCAGCACGAGAAAAAAGACAATGACGCTAACATAACAGCAAATGACAAACAATACAAAGAGAACAATTCGACATAAAATAAGGGCGTCAGATAAAGAAATCATCGTAACATACCCGTTGATGGTAGACAAGAAATGCCTATATCAGTAAGGGCTGATTCTCACTGTTTTTCTTCTCAAGTAAACATCCTGCATAGCAATTGTTGCTTTTGGAAAGAGAATCACCTAATTAAAACAACAAGGTCAACAAATGACTTAAGCCTGACTTCAACTAGAAAACATTTCTCGCAAAACGATAAATTTTGAGATGAAAATATTCGTGAAAATGAGTATTTGTCTTCTACAGGTAATAATAAACATGAAAATCACGAACAAACTAATACAAAATGTCTGTATCAAACACTACCTTGACAAATGCTACTGTTTCAAAATAACATGTTATGATTGTTACTGTAACGACGACCAGAACAAAGAAGCTAGTACAAGGAACGGTTCACCATACGTTGTTTATTTGTGGAACGGGCTCTGAAAGAAGAATTTCCGTCTTCTCTTGAGAGAGCTTAATTTTTATGACCGGCAAAATGTTTTCATTAGCATGGTTTGTTTTGTAACTTGTCTAAGAAATTTCTTAATCAAAATGGTCGGTTCCTGTAGAGTATATAGAGTCGTCAGATGGTATGAAAATTCTTTTTACGTGCATATAACTCGAAAACTAAATAAGATAAAAAAGTCAACAAATCAGACTTACTTAAATCTGATTAGCTAGAAAATTTTTTCAGCAAAAAGTGCAAATCATTCGAACTCAAATTTTCGTCTTGCTGAACAGTTTGCAAGTTTCATTAAATTTGCAAACTTCCTTCTTGGAATAAGATAGCGGCAAACCACCACTTTTAAAAGCACCTCCTCTCACTACAAAAAGCCACTGGCTGCAACAGCCCCTCTTTCCATGTTTTTTTCTTTGAGTCAGGAAGAGGAAAGTGCACCCCTGCTTGGCGTAACTGTAAAATGCAAACTTAGCCTAATAACATTTTTTCGAACAGCCGTAAAGTATTTGACAAAATGCGAGAATTTACGAGAAAGAAGACTTCGTCAAGTCCGTCCTCCAATGATGATTCCGAACTGCACCAGAGATGGGGATTTTCAACTCGAGCAATGTAATGTATACAAAACGAAATGTTGGTGCGTTGGAATGAATGGAAAGAAAATTCGTGGGACTAAAGTTCGCAACAAACTTCCGGAGTGCTATTTAGGTGAGTTTATGCGACTCAAGTTTGTTATAAACGCACATCAGGCCTTCACTCAGTCTACTCGTGAACACTGTTTGGCTGTATTTGCGTAGTATAAAATAGTTGGCAAAAAGCACAATAAAAATCACATAATGCAATTTCACATGCAGCAATGTATTATGTAAATAAATCAATTTCATTATATATGTCATTAGCGACACTCACACGTGCAACGCTCTAAGAAACATTTTGATTGGTTCAAGGACTTTGTGTTAGTTACGTGTGCTTTATGTATCTCAGGACTACATAGGAAAATCCGAATTTCAGGCCCATTTCAAACGTCGATAAATATATGAACCGTCCGAATGCATTCAAAACAAAATATATTATGGAATTTCATCACATTTTCTTTTGTTTTTAATACATTGTACACATTCCGACGTTTGAAACGAGCCTTAAACTCGAGATTACGCATTCATTACACAATGAAATAAATTAAAGTGACTGCTTAATTATGTGTCGCTTAATACAGGTTGACAGTATTATTTGACCGCCCGGCATAAAAAGCTGGAAACTAATGTTATTTGTGAATTCACATCATAGAAGTCGTCTTGCATATTTTTTTAAGAAATAGATTTTTTATACATAGACTATTTACATGTGTAATGCGACAAAACATTGTGCTTTTGTAATTAAGTTGGTCCGTATATGCCATAGCTTCTCGGTAGAAATTTGCATCTACTTCATGCAGATCAAGTTTCTCCAAACAAATCCGACTGTTCTCTGTACAAAATGAATGTACAGAGAACAGTCCTCATCCACATAAATGTTAATCTTCTGCGTGTTGAAATGCTAGTCTCTTCTCTATGCTAAAATTACCTTTCTCTATATAAACACACTTCCACTTGACAAAACTAACACCAGTGCAAAGAGTCGTGGTCAGGGGGAAGGGACAAAGCCCTGAATTTGTAAGAGTTGGGAGACGTATTGTTTTCTGCATTTTGAATTTTGATCAAGGTGATTGGGTAGAATGGGTCTCATGGGCATCTAGCCGCCATTTTTGCTTAGCCGCCATGCTAACCATTTTATACTTAGGAGATAAATTACAAAAAAAATGTTTTCAATGATTTTTTTGTTGTGTTATAATAGTTCCAATCAAAGTGATGATGAACAGAAACACACGCCCTTCCTTGTGGCAAAAAACAGTGTTAAAGGCGTATAATTACATCCACTGCATTAAATAAATGCTTTTATATCATTATGACATCTATTAACAACTGAGTTTCAAAGGTAGGGATCGCTGTCTATTCATGAATAAGAAAACACAACAGAAAATTTGTCTTTCCACCATTAAATGCTCTATATTTGCTGGCTTTTGGAACAAAATGGCGGACGCTAAGCAGTTTTACTCTGGTGTTATAACTCTCCTAATACAGGACTCTAAGAAGGGGGTAACTGAACGCAAAACAACTACAACACCATGATAAGCAACTTTTGTCCGAACTTTAAAAAAGACGTATTTAATGTCAAAATTTTATGTTTCTTTCCGTGATAAAAGAGATAGTAATGATCAATTGTACATAGACAGTATGATTTTCGCAATTGATCATTTTAGCAGTTTACTTAAAGTGCCTATATTACCCTCAGAGAAAATATCTATTTTGATAGAGTTGACAAAATTCAGAACATTTACAATATATTTTTGGTCGTCCTTGACTTTTCGAGCGTCAAAATTGGCTTTTTTCGTCTTTACCCTAAGGAGCTGTGACTGGGTCTAGTTTACCGGACGTGACGTACATTGGATAACCCGCTTTTTTTAACGCTGATATTCATATTGAAATTTGTAGCAAAGTCAAGAAATATATTTTTCCTGAACTTGAGTTATATTGCGCGCTTTGTTAATAAATCACTTTGTGATTTTACTGCGTAAAAGCAGCGTGTTTCCCAATGTACCTCTCATTTGGTGAACTAGACCTAGTTATAGCACCACACTGTGAAACACGCAAAAAACGAACTTTGACGTTGAACAAAATAAGGAAACTCAAATTTTCGTCTGATAAAATATATTGCAAATATATTTAAAATTAGTTTTTCTGGGGGCAAGAGCGTCCCGCAACTTCGTTTATAGAGGGGAATATAATTTTAGCATGTAGAAGAGGTTTGCTGTATGCTCGTAGCAACCTTAGGAGAAATAACATTTGAAGATGCAGAAGCTTGACATTTATGTGGAGCAAGTCGTTTTCCTTGGAGAAATGTTGAGTTTGTGCGGAGTAGATTGACTGCACACTCAATTTTTCGTACGGAGAAACTTGACATGCATGAGACAGATGCAAATTCCTTCGAAGAAGCTGTGGTACACACGCTTTTGAGATATTACAAGAAAAATATAGTGTTTAGCATGTTCTAACATGACTTCAGATCTGGGCTCTCTGGACAGTCAAATAATAAATACATGAATAATTTCTCAATTCTGATTGGTATAAAGCACTGATTTTGAAAAGACTGGATCAAACAACTGTATATTTGTAGTAAGCAAATTTTAAAGCCACCGCCCCTTTACTAATGGACTAACACATCGAAGGCTTTTGACAAAACATGGACAACATAGCAACATATGGCCAAATTATGCTTTGAAATAACACAGAAGGTGAAAAACAACCTTTGTGGCGATAGTAAAGCGATTCAGAAGGAATAATAAGCCGTATAAAAGAAAAATGCATATAGGTTTCATTCTGAATCACTCGTAAAAAAGGCTTGTAATTTTAAAGGATTGATCAGTTTATGATCGTAAATAAGATAATTAAAGAAGTTTGTACTTCTAAGGTACGATTCCAACAATTCCAGATATTTATATGCAGTTGTGGGTTATTTTTCTTAGTTTTTCCATACCACAGTAGAGTTACCGACGACAAAAATCGCTACATTTTAAATATAATTCATCATATTTCATCATATTTTTAGCTTTTCTATAAACTGATTTATCTCTTAGTTATCTTCATGTAGTTACATTTTGAACTTTCAGGATTATTCACGTACAAATCCACAATACATTTGCTCCTTATTTTCGCAAGTTGGTCCCTTAGTAATGGCGGCGTTCCTTAATTTTTGTCTTCAATTTTTGTGCTAGATGCTTGATCCAGTCTTATTTCGAGATCAGTGGTATAGTGGCAGTCCGATTCTTATTTAATACCAAAGTAAAATAAGAAACATAGGGCAAAAAATAAGCATTCAGACAATAGCGATAAGCATAAACATCTTGTCTTTAATATTTATCACTTCGAAACAATCAGAAAAATCCCAGGAAAAAAATTATGTTAATTATTTACGTTAATTTCTAATTATGTTAATTCACATTCGCTATGTAGATACCTGTGGAAAAAGATTCAGGAAGGGGCCGTCACGTATTCGTCGCATCGTCGGCGGACGAGAGTCGAGCCCAGGTACATGGCCATGGCAGGCAATGATTCGCTCCAAACACCGAGGTCACATATGCGGTGCGACGTTAGTGCAAAAAAACTGGCTCGTCACGGCAGCTAGCTGCTTTGGTAAAGAACAAGACTTAAAATAAAACTCTCATGAAGAGCTAAGGATAAAGTTATTACAGTAAATTACTCAAATTAAATAAGGAAATCAAAATCGCCGTTTATATATTTTAATGATCGAGTTTAAAAAATCACAAAATCTAATCAGGAAAAGAATAAAGCAGAAACGTACAAGGCTTTCAGAGTTTAGTCTTGCTCTTCGAGCATTATCGATGCTCATTTCTTTGTAGAAATCTATTTTTTGCAGTGAGCGAGTATAGATACATTTTTATTTGCCTAATGCAATGTGAAATGCCCTCTTTTATAAAGATGTATGAATGAAGTCGTCTTCCACATTGCTCTTATCGTATCAAAACTATTTGTTGGGCCTGCAATGTTAGACTAGCAAAAAGCAGGCCAGAATATTGCTAACGTTTAACGACCACTACCTATTGATTTTGATTTCGAATCAATCTGAAACATGTTTAACAAATTGGCTACAAATAGATATGTTTCAAAAATGCAATTCTCTGTTTATGCAGATAACTACACAAAGTGCATCAATGAATGGACGGTAATACTGGGAGCACATGAACTAAACTCCAGCAGCAACACCAAGATAGGAGTTGAAGCAATACACATTCATCCGAAGTATCAACCAGGAAAAGAAACACATCCTGGAGATTACGATATCGGTAAGTGATGACAATAGATGCATGGTTTTTATGAAATGACTTGATATCGGTAAACTGGAAAATAGCATTTCTGATTAAGACACTAAACTAGAGTACATAATAACTCAAGTTTCAACATCAGATCACTCCTGATGAAGACACTAGACTGGAGTATAAAAGGACTCAAACCTTTACATCAGATCACTCCTGATGGAGACACTAGACTGGAGTATATAAAGACTCAAGTCGCAACATAAGATCACTCCTGATGAAGACACAAGACTGGAGTACATAAGAACTCAAGTTTTAACATCACATCACTCCTGATAAAGACACTAGACTGGAGTAAAAAGGACTGAAACCTTCACATCAGATCACTCCTGATGAAGACACTAGATTGGAATATATAAAGACTCAAGTCTCAATATGAGATCACTTCTGATAGAGACACTAGACTGGAGTATATAAGCACTCAACTTTCAAAATCAGATCCCTCCTGAGAAAGACAGAGTAGAGTATATAAGGAGTATTTAACATCAGACCATTCTTGATGAAGACAGTAGAGTGGAGGATTTAAGTTTCAAGAGAATATCTCTCATAAAGATAATACACAGTATAGTATATGATTAAACTTAGAACCAGTGTCAACAACAGATAGCGTTATAGCAAAACTTAAGTTATAGCAAAACTTGTGAAAGTTGAGGAGCAACTCGAAAATTCTGGGAAACACTAGCACTGCGAGCTCGTTCTTGCAAAGCAATTTTTCGTGTCTTCCAAATTTTCTCTCGTGTTTCTATTATAGCGCGTTCAGACTGAGTGACAGAGTATGATAAACTGGTAACCATTCACATTGGTAACAATTTTTGAGTACCGTGCAGGGCACTCAACCTGAACGCGCTATTACTTTGTATTTTCTACTTCCTAAATGCAAGCTATCTTAGAACAACATTTGTGCAACAAAAAGTAGGATGAATAAGTTCAGTACACAGAAAAACCTAAACAGAAGGGAAAAAGCAAAAAATAAATACCCGTTTGCAGAAATAAATTGAAACCCATGCTTTAATTAAACACAAAAAATCTGAGAGGAACCGCGATCTTTTTAACTCACAAAAAATGATTTTTATCCTAGATCATATAATGGTACCATCAACGATCGCTTTGTATGTGCTGGATTTAAATAGGGTGGAATTGATGCTTGTCATTTCGACACGGGAGGTTCGCTGACATGTCCAATGAAGGGCGGCGCTTGGGGATTGGCTGGCATAGTCAGTTGGCGTCGGTCATGTGCACAGCCACACAAATACGGCTTGTACACCAATGTAAGAAAGGTACAACAATGGATTGAGAAAATCCTCACGTAATAAATAAGGCCCTAAAGAATCGCCACCATCACCATCCTGCTTTACGCCCCTGGTAAGGGCATGGCAAGGAAAGATTGACACGAGGAAAGATTGACACGACCGCAATTGGAAAAATATTAGCTCTCCTTTCGTTTTTCGATAACGTAGTTGAGAATATAATAATGTAAATGTTTTAAGAATGAAACATACTCCGATGAATAAAAGACATCTTGGAAACTTAATATATGAGTTAAATGGAAAAAAAATAACAAGATTTAACTTTTCCATTGGTCACTTTTTCGACCCTTTTTCAGAATCATAGTCTGGTCTTCACAACGATATCTGGAGATGGTTTACAAGATATCTTTATTCAAAGAAGTGTGTTTCATCCTATATTTTTTGAAATATAATATAAATATTATCTCATTTAATATAAACGACAAGTCTTTTTAGAATAGACATGTTTCGACATGGTAGAGTTCATCTCAGTTGTTGACATTTGATAGTGGAAAGCAGAGAAACTTTGAATAAACGCCGAGTGAAAGACAATCTTTGAGAAACATAACATCTAGTTCTGACCTGGTAAATAAGTGACGTAAGACATTGTAAGGGTGCAGAATCTAGGGCGGACAGGTAGTGAAATTATCAAAGGTTGTGTAGAAACTTGAAATTTTCAGTTCAAAAACATAAAGTTCAACCGTACTAGTGACTTGTTTGGCAAAAAATGGAGGGAGGGAAATGTTTATTAGTATATATTATAAGTTAATCTGCTGTTTGGGGGTGGTACCTCCAGCAACTACCACATAGTAAATCCGCCTATGGTAGTTTTACAGCTATTTATCATAGTGAAACACATACATAGGGACATACTTAATAATTAAATGTAAGAATAGAGCAATTTAGCATCAATGATTATATGAAGAATGTAGAATGATAACTACTACATTTTGAAATCTTTGTCGAAAACATTTTCCTGTGACATACACACGTACACACAGTACGTAAAGTATTAATGAAAAAATTTAAAAAAATCGCAAATAGTAGGTTAAATGGCAAAAACAATAACCGAATAGCCCATAAAAGAACCATTTAAAACCAGAACTCTAAAACCAGTAGTTCTAAAAGAACTGTTTTAAAAGTTTTAAATTTTCATATAGCGACGTTGTTATATGAGGATTTTAATGTGACCCAGATAAAGTCTCTACTTTATTACAAAAGTATTAATAAATTTAGCATTAAATTATTGTACACCAATTTCAACCTTAAAATACACTATGTATGCAAACGCTGCGTGAGAGGCCTCCTCCAATCCTAAAAAGAGGAAGTTCTTAGAATAGCATGTACAGCGTATGCTATCTGCAAGGCAACAACTAGCGGAGCAAAAAAGAGTGACATTGTCTCTTTCAAGACTCAGATTTTCATACCCGAAGTTGATCCAAACAAAAACAAAAAACTCTTAAAATTTCGTCAAAGCATGTCGTATTTAACATAACACATGGAATTCATTTCTCCTTATGTCAGTGTATTGAGCTCACTAACACGAACAGAGATGTTATGTATTGAAAAGATTGTGAATGACTAAACTTTCCAGCCACAGATGCCTCTATCATCAACAACCATCTGAGCAAAAAATTTATGGTGAAAGTAATAAAATTATGTCTTTTCTTATTTGGTCGTAATGCCTTGATTCTAATGCAACAGTTTTGAATTTTTCACAAGCACATTCTGTCATGTTATCATACCAAGAACGCTCTGCAAAATAAACAGTGCCATCAACAACTACTATGATTCATCGCCATTATTGCCTTAGAACAAATACCAGTATCAATATAAGCACAAATACTAGTATCAGTAACCGCGTGACAAGGAAATTCTTTAAAATGTTCAAGGTATAGACATCGAATGCATAGAACCACCAGCCCAGCAAAAGTTGCTTCTTCAAAAATTTCATACACACGAGTTTCCCATTTTAGAAGAGGAAGTGGAAAAACAACTAAGGAAAGAAATAATAACAAAATTTTATTACGAAACAAGACCATATGTCTCGGGTGTATTCCTACACCAAAAAGAAGAACAGGTCACCTACAACAAACGCATTCAATATGGAACAAAGTGAATCTCCTTAGTTGCCTCTAGTCTGGAAGAGCATAGAATGGCAAGAAGGACACGAAACATAATTATGACCGCGTGAAGAGCGGGTATCACATCTAAGCAATTCAGATCCTCTTTAAATAGATAAAAAGTTTATTGCTAGGAGCGCAATTTTGAAGTTTTTCAACGGGGACTCAAACACTCTATTGAATTTTTTGGCTCAATGTATGCTGCAGGAAATGACTATAGTAACGTAAAACTGCCCACTCGGAACTACAGTACTGGCCTGTATGGACATTTTAAAGTCGGTGAACATTCATTGGTGTGACGATGCATGAAAGGTGCTTTTGAGCTGAAACCGGCTTTGTCCAGGTATTCCAAAATTTGGGACGTCAAGGTAGTTTTGGATTATTTGAAAACATTTGACCATGTTCCCGAGATGCCCACAAAAGAAATTACATGAAGCTCGCCATGCTACTATGTCTCACTATGGGTCAGAGAGGACAGACCATTTAAAAAATTGAAATCAATTGTATGCAAGAGTTAGCAGACAGATGTCGTATAAGTTAAAACAGACTAAACCTGGGCGACACCTGTAACCATTAGAACAACGAGTTTTTTATAAGGTTCAAAAACTCTGTGTTGTACGACCTCTGAAAGAATATCTACGTCGAACTAAACGACACCGGAAAGAACATAAAAAACTACGCTTGAGTAACATTAAAACCTATCATCCTGTTTCTAAGAACACAATATCTAGATGTGTTAAACAGATCCTTACATCAGCTGCAATAGACATTCGAAAATATTCAGTGCATTTTATTCGTGTAGCTGAAACATCCAACTGTAAGCAGAAAGAATTTAACATCAACGACACCTTGGAAGCAGCAGGATGGTCCATGATTAACGAACAGACAATGTAAATTTAAACTTTGGTACTGTTTTGTTAAGACCGTAAATTAGGCCACAGGATTGTAAAGATTTTGAAAGAATATGATAATGTTAGGTTGAACGAATTAGCTCGTAGTACAGAGCTTTGAAGTCTCATGTGACTCCGTGGTGACGTAGACTGATGACAAGATAGAATCACAATCAAACTTCGATTTCCAAGTAAGCCTCGTTTAGTTTTAAAATTATAATGCTTTCATATTTGCTATTTATTAAATACTATTTTAAATATTTCACCTTTGATTGGTAAAAATCCTGCAAGTTCCCAAACAGCCATGTTGAACATGTTCTCATTTTTTATACCTACATAGAACAAAATAAATATCCATAAGCAAAATATAACAGGATATTTGAAAGCCATAGCATAATATAAGGCATAAGAATTAGGTCAATTCGTGATTACAAACGAGATTATTAAAATTTTGCAAGCTCTTTAAATGAAGTTATAAAAGAACTGGCTAGTCTCTTTGAACATGACGTTGTGCAGGTTTTTGTGTGGGTTTTTTTTTATCTTAGATAAACAGTGGGGGCTATGGATATCCTCTAGAAATATGCTGTGGATAATAGGGGAAGGTTGGTGTTGCAATAGGATAACTCGAATGTGCTAACAGACGAGTTTTCAAGCTGCCTGGTCTTTTGAAGTGATCACGTATCAATTTTCTTCTGTGTTTTGCTGAATACTTACGAAAATACTTTCCTATATTTTGTCGTCATAGTCCAGAGGATATACAAATGCGTCTCGCTGCAAGATTTACTAACGAGGCTCTGTTAATGTTGCAAGAAGGCATTCTTAACAGTCCAGTTAGTATGAAGTTCAGCAGCAAGAATAGCATTGGTCTTTCTATGGATCCCCTTAAATGTATCTGTTTACCTTTTTTGTTTTCAGACTTTCGTTTTTGTTTTTGTGTTAGGTTGATGGCGATATAGGAACAGTTTTTGGCTTGGGTTTTCCCCCTTTCCTCGGCGGTAAAGTTGTGTTTTTTTTTCTCAAATATTTGCTAGTCTGTGAAAGTTGTTTAACTGCTTTTTACTCGGGAGCTACCAAAGGTCAGCCCAATTTTAAAATTCGGATTTTCCTGTATTGTCGCGAGACTAAATAAAACACGCGTGACCGAAATTGCCCCTTATAAGAACTATTTAAGAACCGAATAAAACTTTTTGTTAAAGATGTCTGCCAAGTTTACACTGACATCAGGAAGTACAAAGAAAATAAAAATTCGCATTGTAAATAACAAATTGAAACAAATTTGAAAGTGATCAGCCCAAAGATTTTCTGTTGGCTGTACAAAAAGGCGAGAATGTCAAAGAATGGACAAAGTACTAGTCGTCAACGCCATTGGTAAACACATAAGAAACTTTTACTAATTTTCTTTTGCAAAAATTCAAAAGGAAAAACAAAACAATAGAAATGGTTGATTTGAACATAAATCATTAAATACAACCCTGAGCCAACGGAGATCGTCATAAATGAAATAACTACAAAAGGTTTGTTAAACATCGCCATTACATCTACAGTGAAATAAAAAGGAAACATCCATAACTGAAGGAGTAAGGGTGAATTTGATATTCAGTTGACTTTAAAATTAGAATGTGACTTGTGCGATGTTTTCGGTCATAAAATGTATACATTAATGGATGAAATTTAAATAAGATCTTCGGCAGCCCTGAAATGATTGATAAACATGAACACAAAATATTTCAACTTACTTGTTGTCGTTAAAATGAGCTGAGTGTCGATGACCAGAAGTTCTCCCAACAAGCCGACCGTGAACTTTTCCCGGAAATTTATAATTTTGCGACGTTAAATAAAAAGTTTATGCGAGTGCTTCACATGACTTTGAAAGATACAGCAAACTTAATTATCACTCTGAAAGATATTCTTTATTCATTGGAACTCATCACTTCTAGGTATTGCAAAACTTCCCTCTCATTCCCGTCATCATTTTTGTACCATTGTTCTTATTCATATTTCTAATTATTTCATTAAATATGTGTAGCTATATATACACAATACGCGCTCTGAAACCTGAAAATGGGAAGGTAAAAATGTTTGTTTTTTTAAGACATGTCAAAGTATCTTTACTACTTCGTCCCTAGGCGCTTGCTCATAAAAGTAGATAAAAATTTAAGTATATTGAATACGAAAAGGTTTATATAAGGCATAGCGAGCAATATTAAGGTAAGCGCGCAATGTGAGATGTTTTAAGAATTCGTTGTAAACAATGTCACAGTGACTCAGACAAAGAAAACTTTGAGAAACACAAATACATCGACACTATTAACAATCCTGTTACAATTATATGTTTAATTATCAAACAATGATTGCCGTGTTTAGTTGGCCTTATCCAACACTTGGGAATGTTGCTCGACGAAAAGCGCACATCGCTTGCACATACTGTATATTTGTACGAGAATGACTCTAAGTTTTCAACATGTAACTACATGAGCATAACTTAACTTCCCGTATTCTAAAAGCTCACTCACACTCATTGAGTTGGACATAAAAATCACACTCTATCCAAACAAGGCCGAAGTCATTTCTCAATCTATGGCAAGTGTTTTTCTTAGATATTTCAAATCAATAATCAGTGGGATGAAATTGACGACTTCGAATAATTATATTGATTTTGAAACCCCACCCAGTAAGTGTAAGTGTGTGAGTTTTTAAAATACGGGCGAAAGAACCGTTTTAAACGTTGCATTTTACATGAGTCAAATGCATTAAAGAAAAAAGAAAATGAGATAAAATTCCTCATCATTTGTTGTTTTCAATGCATTCGGATCATGTAAAATGCGATGCTTAAAACGGCTCTAAGGAATAAATCAGTTGGTAAAAGTGTTAAAAATATAATAAAATATGATCAAAATGCCGCTATTTTTGTCATCGGTGACTTGAACTGCTTGTTAAGCAAGA